CAGCCTGTTGTTCCATGTCCAGTTCTAACTGTTGCTTCCTGACCTGCATACAGGTTTCTCAAGAGACAGGTCAGGTGGTCTGGTATTCCCATCTCTTTCAGAATTTTCCACAGTTTATTGTGATCCACACAGTCAAAGGCTTTGGCGTAGTCAATAAAACAGAAATAGATGTTTTTCTGGAACTCTCTTGCTTTTTCGATGATCCAGTGGATGTTGGCAATTTGATCTCTGGTTCCTCTGCCTTTTCTAAATCCAGCTTGAACATCTGGAAGTTCATGGTTCACGTATTGCTGAAGCCTGGCTTGGAGAATTTTGACCATTACTTTACTAGCATGTGAGATGAGTGCAGTTGTGTGATAGTTTGAGCATTCTTTGGCATTGCCTTTCTTTGGGATTGGAATGAAAACTGACTTTTTCCAGTCCTGTGGCCACTGCTGAGTTTTCCAAATTTGCTGGCATATTGAGCGCAGCACTTTCATAGCATCATCTTTCAAGATTTGAAGTAGCTCAATGGGAATTCCATCACCTCCACTAGCTTTGTCGTAGTGATGCTTCCTAAGGCCTACTTGAGTTCACATTCCAGGATGTCTGGCTCTAGGTGAGTGATCACACCATTGTGATTATCTGGGTCATGAAGATCTTTTTTGTACAGTTCTTCTGTGTATTCTTGCCACCTCTTCTTAATATCTTCTGCTTCTGTTAGATCCATACCATTTCTGTCCTTTATTGAGCCCATCTTTGCATGAAATGTTCCCTTGGTATCGTTAATTTTCTTGAAGAGATCTCTAGTCTTTCCCATTCTGTTGTTTTCCTCTATTTCTTTGCATTGATTGCTGAGGAAGACTTTCTTATCTCTCCTTGCTATTCTTTGGAACTCTGCATTCAAATGGGAATATCTTTCCTTTTCTCCTTTGCTTTTCACTTCTCTTCTTTTCATAGCTATTTGTAAGGCCTCCTCAGACAACCATTTTGCCTCTTTGCATTTCTTTTTCTTGGGGATGGTCTTGATCCCTGTCTCCTGTAGAATGTCATGAACCTCAATCCATATTTCATCAGGCACTCTGTCTATCAGATCTAGTCCCTTAAATCTATTTCTCACTTCCACTGTATAGTCATAAGGGATTTGATTTAGGTCATACCTGAATGGTCTAGTTGTTTTCCCTACTTTCTTCAATTTAAGTATGAATTTGGCAATAAGGAGTTCATGATCTGAGCCACAGTCAGCTCCCGGTCTTGTTTTTGCTGACTGTATAAAGCTTGTCCATCTTTGGCTGCAAAGAATATAATCAATCTGATTTCAGTGTTAACCATCTGGTGATGTCCATGTGTAGAGTCTTCTCTTGTGTTGTTGGAAGAGGGTGTTTGCTATGACCAGTGCGTTCTCTTGGCAAAACTCTTATTAGCCTTTGCCCTGCTTCATTCTGTACTCCAAGGCCAAATTTGCCTGTTACTCCAGGTGTTTCTTGACTTCCTACTTTTGTATCTCCCACCCTACCCCCGACCAAAAGAGTTTTACCCTGTAACATACATAGATCCTTTTCCTGGAGGAAAAGATCCACCTCTTACCCTCCTCCCTTGATCCTATAAACTCTAGTTAAGTGCCATGCACACAAAAGGGGCTCAGTAAATATTTGTGGGACATTTGTCCTATCCTATCACAATACTTATATCCATTCTTGAAACAGTATAACATAGAATCTCTATTTTGAATGGAATTAAGTCTTTTGAGTCTAGTTTTCTTGTGGTTCCTTCCCAGGAACTGTTTCTCCTACTTGTATGGTTAATAGCCAAGAAAACAGTCATTCAACAAACATTTATGGAGAGATGACTGAATACCAAGCACTGGGGAAATCTTCTGGAAATTCCAAGGACGTTCTTGGTGTTTACACAGAACATCCAAACCAAGTGTACTGTGCGGGGGTCCCACACCACCATGATCTGGTCAGTTTTTTGTTTAACTTTCAAGGAACATTGACTGTTTCATGTGACCTCAGGAAAGAGAGGGTGTAATTATAAGGACCCCTGGACCTGAGATTTGGTCATTGTTTCCCAGTCTTTTTTTTCCTAATGGTGTTTCTGTTTACCATGATATGTCTACCCCATTCTTTTTTTCTACAACCAACTTCTCTGCTTCCTCATACCTTAAATGATACATGGCCTGTCATGATATATTAGTCAGGAGAAGCTAGTAATGCTTCAGTAACAAACAGCCCCCAGTTCTCAATGGCCTAAAACAGCAAAGGTTTATATCTTGCTTGTGCTACATGTCCACTAAGGGTTAGTTCTGGAGAGAGGGGAACTCTACTTACCACAGCCACTTGGAAATCCAAACTACAAAACAGTGACAACTTTGAAAAAGAACACAGTGAGTCATACTAACTCCTAGTATCTACCATAAGTTACCTCTGTTCACATTTCCTTGGCCAAGGCATGGCAAATGACCACACTTAATTGGGTGGGGATGTGCAATCCTACCAAGATCTGATTTGGAAGAAAGCCCAAATATCTCTAACCAGCCTTAATCACCCTCATACAAGGCATCTCCAGCCCAAGATCATAACCCCGTTTTGTTTCAGCTGCTTCAGCTATGGATTCATATTTTCCATGCTCCTTAGTTCGAACTACAGTCAGAGAGAAGCCAGAGGCACAGTCCATCTCTGCCTAACAGGCCACAACACTAGGTCCTTGGCTAGCCTATGGATCTGTCCTCAAGTCACAGCCAATCAGGTAGGGAACAGGAATATACTGTATATCCCATGGCTGTCTAGCCTGCCCCTTTTTTCTTTTGGCTGGGGATCGAACCCATCCCCCCTACATTGAGAGCATGGAGTCTTAACCACTGGACCACCAGGGAAGTCCCTAGCCCACACCCTTGATGCTATCCAAGGACCAGGAGATCTAACCAATATAGGAGAAATTCTTGTTTAAGTGAAGATATTTTGCCTGTTCCTAACCCTTGATTATAGAAGGGTAGTGGATAGTGCAGTCCATGAAGTTGGGTTAAACCTGGTTGATTGTCAGGCTATTCATGGGGTAGAATCTCACCAGTGGTGAAATGGAAATGACTGAGTCCAGGGACCGGTTATGTTAACCTATCAGTCTAGGGATTAGTGATATGGTACCAAGGAATTTTTTAAATTGGCTTTGTGCAGCTCCATTTCCATACTGGACACCATAGTCTTTGACTTCTAAGGGAGTAAGAGAGGCAGGGAGGGGAAGAAAAAAATGGATGGTTTAAACTTAAACAATAAGACCTTAATGTCTGAATCCCTAAATTCAAGCCCCTTCACCATATTCCCTTCCTTTCTACCTTTCCAGTCTCATATCCCTGTTCACCCCCAAGTGAACCTACTGTACAACCAACAGCAAATATTCTCTTTTCTACCGTTGGCTCGTATAATACCCTCCTCTCTATCTAATTGCTATCCTTCCTGTAAAATCAGTTTAAAAACCACCACTTTTCAGAATAGTTTTTATCTGTATGCTCTGACCTGGTCATTTCTTCTTCTTTCTCCCCTGCTCATGCTGAATACCTGTGATGTGTCTTACTTAATTGGGGACCCCGGAGCCTAGTGCCTGCCTGGTATACAAGAGGTGCTCACCAGTGGTGTGTTTGAATAGATGGTCTATAACACTGGTTCATTTAAGGAGACTTTAGCGTGTTTCTCAATGTTTGGCACAGTGGAGAAAATTCACTAATACATGGTCCCTCCAGGAGTTTCTCTAGTTCAGTTGCCTCATTTTATAGATGAGAAAACTGAGGCCCAGAGACAAGAGATGACTTGCCCTCTGCCACCCGAGCAGCCACAATTTACTGAGCACTTTGCTATGTGCTAGACAAAACGCTTTTCATTCATTATCTCATTTTCATCCTTGTAACAACCTTAAGAGAGAAAAAGTTGTATACCTACCTTACAGAAGAGAAAACTGCAGCTTAAAGAGATTATAACATGGTTAAGGCCATCTTGCAAGGAGGTAGCCAGGCCACTTTTGGATTCCAGGGTCTAACTCTGGGGTCCCTACTCATACCCCTTATGCTGAGCTCCAAGTTAAGATGCCAGCTCCCTGGGGCCCACACATCTGTATGTCACCCAGAGGCCTTGAACTCTGTCAGTGTTCCAGTGGCTGGGTTCACATGTGGTGACTAAAGGGTCCTGGTGAATTTCTGTACCATGCAGTGCCTGTGCACACAAATCTAGTGTTCTGACCATTAGGTCAGAGGTTTTGTTTTTATTTTTCCCTCCTGGGCAGTTGGGTTAGTGGAAGAAACCTGATAAAATCCTGGGAGGAAATTGATCATTCTCTGAAGGACTTACAAGTTGTTTGACCTGCCTGATCTGCTCAGATACCGTCCAGGGAATATTCAGTATCCATGTAGGACAGATTGTGAATTATTCTGTGGGGACTGTGAACAAGACCTAACAAGACCCTCACCAGCTCTGTCTCAGCCAGTCTTAAGCGGGGTTTGCGGACAGCCCCCTTTCTTCCCTTCCCATTAAAAGTCTGAAAAGAGCAGGCTTTTCCCCATGGGGACTGGGAGGAGTAAGAGGTATAGGGGGAAATCCTCCTGCCTCTGAACAGAGCTTACTGTACAGAGCAGGGCCTGTTCCCTCCTCAGAGTTATAGCTGTGGATACAATGACTTGGCTGGGATAACATTTATCCCTGTGTTTTGGTAACCTACTACCTGAGTGCCTAACATGGAAAGAAGACAACTCCCTAAACTCAGTGCAAGGAAAATGATTAAAAGTTAGATCTGGCGGCACCATAGGGATCATCTACCCCTCATCCCCAGGTTTCAAGATGTAGCACAGAGGCCAACTTGCTTGTCAAGGTTACAGAGCTGCTGGTGATAGAGATCAAAAAACTAAGTTGCCTGACTCTCAACTCAATAGCCTTTCCTGTTAAACTCGCAAGCTCCCACCCACACACCAACAAACACACCCCATCCTTTGGGGGAAGTACCACATACAGGCACACACAGAACCGCGTCCTATGCCCCTAAGGTATACAACTGCCTCTCCCCTGGAGGACAGGGAGCCGCATTAAGATAGATTCGCAGATGTTCTGGCCCGCACCAGCAGACATATACAGCACCCCAGGCCTCCCTCCCAACTTGTCCTTTCTGTGCTCCAATTGAGTTTCCAGAACATGAGAGCCAGCCCGGGCTGACACCCTGTAGGCAGGGAGGGCGCCGTTGCGGTGGCTGCGGGGACCCCAGGTCCCGAGGCTTAGCGCACCGCTGGGTCTGGTGGCCCAGGAAGCGACGCGCATCCTCTACCTGCCCGGCTCGCTCCTCAGGCCTCCTGTGACTCAGGACGGCTCGGCCAGGGACCCTAGGGCCAGAGCGTGAACCCCGGGAGGAGAGGGCGCAGAGTAGCACCGAGGCCCCCGGTACCGGAGAGGCCCCTCTGCCCTCTCCCTGGCGTGCAGGTTCGGAAAACGGGAGGCCTCGCCCGGAGGCTGCCTCGGCTGGCTGCTCGGGTCCCCATATATAGTCATAACCACCGTCAACTGGGAGGCCGGCAGGCGGCAGCGAATGGGCGAGCAGCCCCCGCGGGAGCAGCGGGGAGGGCGCGGGGGGCGGAGGGAGGAGAAGGGGGAAAGGGGGCAGGAGAAAAAAGCTCTTCCAAAAAAGTATTGGCTGTCTTGAGGAATGCGGTCGCCCCCTTGGGAAAGTACATATCTGGGAGCAGCAGGCGGCTCTGCGCTCGCACTCCGGCTCCGCAGCTTCACCGCGCGCTCTCCTCCCTGCTCCCGCCGCAGCCCCAGGGCCCCTCGCCGCCGCCACCATGGACGCCATCAAGAAGAAGATGCAGATGCTCAAGCTCGACAAGGAGAACGCCTTGGATCGAGCGGAGCAGGCTGAGGCCGATAAGAAGGCAGCGGAGGACAGGAGCAAGCAGGTCTGCGCCTCCCCAACCGTGCGCCCGCGGGTCGCCCGCGCTCCGCCCGCCCCGGGGCCCAGAACCCCGGGACCCGGCCTGGACCTCTTCCCGGTCCCTCACCCCGAGGACTCCAGGAGCCACCCCCCACTCCAGGGCGTCTGAGAAGCGGCGGGGGTGGGGGGGGCGGAGAGCAAGACTGGCTTATTCTAACTTTTTCTCTTACCTGGGGACGCTTATTTCCCTTCTTTGGTTGCGGGAGCCCGTGAAGTCCCATCAACTGCTAGAGGCACTTGGTTCTGAGGATCAGAACGCAACTTTGGATCTGGGGGTGGAGGAGAGGAGGAGGGTTGAAAGGAATCAAGTCCAGAAAGTGTTATAAGTTCTTCTGGACTTTCGACCGGGGAATATATAACATTCAACTGGGGGAGAGGGGAAGTCAGGGAGGAGGGAGCGACAGTCACGGAGTTTTTTGGTTAAAACAAAGATGGGACAGAAGAGAGGGTATTGCGGGCTCGGAGTCGTGGCCATCCATTTATTCTGCAACGCCAAGTTGTGGGCATGAGCCCACTGAGACCTCGGTAGGAGTCTCGTCCCCGGGAGCAGTGGAGGGGTATGAAGTAGCCTCGGGACAAGAGGGGGTTACCTAGGGACCCTTGAGCCCCAACTCGGTGGCGCCCCAAAACTGAAGGGCCCCAGCCAACCCGGTGCCCGTGTTGTGTGTGTGTGTCTAACACCCGGTCCGTGCCGGCCGCCCGCGCCCGCCCGCCGCCGCCCCCCAGCTCGAGGAGGACATAGCGGCCAAGGAGAAGCTGCTGCGGGTGTCGGAGGACGAGCGGGACCGGGTGCTGGAGGAGTTGCACAAGGCAGAGGACAGCCTCCTGGCCGCCGACGAGGCCGCCGCCAAGGTACCCCGGGCGCGCGCGGCGCAGCGCACGAATGGCTAACTCTGTCTCTCTCTCTCTCTCCCTCCCTGTCTTTCCCTTTCTCTCTCCCGCTGTCCCTGTCCTTCTGGCTCTGCGCACCCACAACCCTCCCTTGCGGGATCACGCTGCCTGCCGCACCCCCCACCCCGTCCCGTCCCCGTCCCCCACGGCCAACTCCCAGCTGGAAGATGAGCTGGTGTCGCTGCAAAAGAAACTCAAGGCCACCGAAGATGAACTGGACAAATACTCCGAGGCTCTCAAAGATGCCCAGGAGAAGCTGGAGCTGGCGGAGAAAAAGGCCACCGACGTAAGTGCACGCACACACTGCCCCCCCTCCTCACCTCCTGCCCTTGTGCCGGGCTCTGGGGGTCATCACAGGGGCCGCAGAACCACGGAGGAGGGTCACCTCCTCTTAGCTGGACACGTGCACACAGCCTGCCATGGCCCGGAGCACTGGATGCTGCCCTCAACTGCTACTGCACACGATCATTTTTATTTCATCCATTCCTCTCTCTCTTTTCGCCTTCTTTCCTTCACCCCTGGGGTTGGAGGGGGGTAGGGGTGGTGAGAATCTGGGAGAACACAGCAACTGAAATTGGACTCTGGAGGTGAACCCTTCCCCGTGGTGGCAGAAAACCTCTGAGGTGTCATCACCAAGGTTTGTGCAAGCAGAATGCCTAGTTTTCTCCACTTTCTTTCTTTTTGCCATCTCTGGTGGGTGGGAAGGCCTGGTTTTCAGTGACCAATCTAGTCAGGATTCAGAGGACCTGGCCCCTATGTTGAAAGAATGACATAGAGCGTGCTACTTATTCTGAGAGGGTTAAGCTTGATGGTGGACCTCAGAAACCCTTGAGGCCTCCTTACCAGGGAAGTCTTAATCCAGCCCTTCAGACCTGCCTGGGAAGATGATACTTGCTTGGGTCTGCACTCTGAGGGCACTAGATCCAGAAAGTAAGCTGGGAGTTATATATAGCTCAGTGCTTTATATGGTATAGTGTGCTAGCTGCCCCCTGATTCCCCTGCTCGCCCCACCCCGACCTGTCAGCCTCCGACAACCACCACATAGTTTCAAGGGTGATGCACACACCACAAAAACTCTGCCAGTATTTTGTCCACTGCCCTCTGAAATCTCTTAGCTGAAGAGCTTGCCTCTTCTGCTGCATAAGTCAAGACAGGCATTAGATTTCCAAAGGAATAACTTCTTTTTCACACCATTCTGGAAGCTAATTAAGCCTAGAGGCCCAATTAGGCAAGAATTCCTGGGGAAGGGAGCAACAATTTCAAGAATGTATGAGTACCAGGGAAAGCTATGCCCAGAAAGTTGAACGACCAAGTGCAACAGCAGAATTTTTTGTATGGGAGTAAAGTGTACATTGATGGAGGGTCTGGGTTTTGAAATCAGTAAAGGCTTTCTGTGATGTGAAAGGTGTGAAATGTAATCTCCAAGCGTGCTTTGTAAATGAGAGATCCAGACACAGGACATTTAGAATCTGACAAAAAGACAAAGTTTCAGTGAAGAGCAAGGTCCCTGGAGAGAGGGTTCAAGGAAGCACTGATTTAGCTAAAATATATAAGTTACAAACTACCTGGCTTTAGAAAAAGAGCCAGAAAACACATATAACTCTGCACCAGTTTTGTATAATGTAGATCAGATGTCTGCTCCGTATATGGTTAAATGGAGGATGCCTGTCTCCCCCAGATTCTCCAGCAGGACGTTTATTTAGCTTTTTCAAAAGAGCCGCTGATAGATCAAGGAGAGATATTCCTTATAAGGAAAAGAATGCAGAGAATTTGAAAATAGCCCAGTAAGACTGAAAGCAAGAGGAGAAAAAAGCTACTACAATTCTTAAGGGGGGAAATAATCATAATTATTGTGTAACTATGTGGTGCTATCATGTCTTTATTGAAAAATCTTGTTTAAGGGAGCTTTGGAATGAGATGAGGCAGAAGTAGCAGAGAGGATATTTAAAGCTAGTTGGAGGGGGGGAGTGGGTGGAGCCACAAGGAGGGGGAGGTTTCTGAAACTCTTTTCCCTCTCCCACTGGAAAACTGTCCCTAATATGGTACACTTTGGGGGGGGGGGTAGTATATTATCTTCCCCTTTTAGGTTGTTTGCAACCTGTAGGGATGTAGAAGACATTGTGAAGAAATGCTTTATTTAGAGTGATTCCTAACTAGTAAAAATAGTCAAGACCTGAGGAGGAAGAGACATGTCACAAGGGGAAGGAGGAGGTAGGAGAGAGGTCAACTTCCTGAGGTCGAATCATATTACATTTGGGACTAGGGCGTTGCATTGTCATTACTCACCAGTGTAAAATATTTTCACATTTTTCTACTGCTAAAAACATTTTCCTACCAAACAGTTTACAAATCCTAGTCCAGAAATGGGCTCTTCCTAGCTTGAAAGGTTGTAATTCGCATGGTCAAATCTCTGATGGCTTTGAGTTTCTTGTGGTCAATTCACCTAAATGAGGCTGGAGGGGATCAAGGGCTCCATTTTTTCTGGCCTCAACCTCCTTCCCCAATAACTGTGATGTCTATGACATCTGCAATATGTGAGTCTTTATTCCCTGTAGGTCTTTTCTTCCTAAATCAATGATTCTCAACCCTAACTAAACATGGATGGTTTAAAAACTTACCTAAGATGGTTTAAAAACTTAAAATCCAGGCTGCACCCTAGGCCAATTAGAATCGCTGGGAGTGGAACCCAGGTGTTAGTATTTGTTAAATATTCAGGTGATTCCAACGTGCAGCCAAGGCTGAGAACAACTGTCCTAAACTCTTTTGTATGATGACATCAGCATGAAAGTGAACTCACCTGAAACTGACTTTCCCAGGTGTTTGAAAAGCAAGACATTAAGTCACTAGTTGGCTGCTTGGAGCATGTGCACGTGTCCAGAATTTTCCAGGGCTCCTGAAGGTTCCCAGATGCCCCCTCTCCCACCCTCAAAGTTGGAGACCTACTGTCTATACTCTTAGGGAAGCGGTTGTGACCACCCTCCTGAGGAGACAAACTGTGTGGAAACAAAGCAAGAGGCTCCACCTACAGGATGCGAGAGCCCACGCTGGGACTTGTGAGTCTCAGCAGAGACTGTGATAATGTCTTTAGCAAATGAGTCAGAAAAGCAGTTCAGTTGTTAGGGCTTTGGAGGAGGAGGGGGCTGTCAACTGTGTTTTCTTTCTCTTCATTATTCCCATACTTAAACACATTGGAAGTGACTTGAAGGGCCTTCTGTGAGAAAGGTGAGGAAAGAAAGCCGTGAGACTTAGAAGACATTTAAAAACATAGCCCAAGGGAAGTATGGACAGAGACTGGTTCCCAGAGATTGTGTCCACTTTGGTTTTCATCCAGCCGCAGCCGGACGCTCTCATAGGGTTCTATTGGCTTCCTTGGTGTACTTTTTTTTAACTTCTTGAAGGTTACATACTCTATTGTTGCATTTATATAACATTCTAACAATTATAAAATTATAGAGAAGAAAAATAGTAGATGCCAGGGCTTATATAAGAGATGAGGCAGGAGATAAGTGAACATGACTTCAAAAAGGCAATTTGAGGGATCCTTGGGGTAAAGGAAATGTTCAGTATCTTGTCTGCATTTACTGCTGTTGTGTAGTCACTAAGTTAGTGTCTGACCCTTGGCAGCCTCATGGACTGTAGCCTGCCAGGCCCCTCTGTCCATGGGATTTCTCAGGCAAAAATACTGGAAGAGGTTGCCATTTCCTTCTCCAGAGGATCTTCCTGATCCAGGGGTCGAACCCACCTGCATTGGCAGTCACATTCTTTACCTTGGTGTGCTTTTAAAAAGCATCTCAGTCCAGCCCTGACTTGGTCAGATTACAGATTACAACCTTCCTACAATCAGAGAAGGTTGTAACTAGAAGGGACCCTTGAGACAATTTTTTATGGAAAAGAAAATCAGTTCCAGAGAGGCAGGCAGATCTGAGGTCCCACAGCTGGTTATGGGCCATAGCTTGACTCTTAAGACAGTGTTTGTGTGTTTTAAAAATTTTTTTTATATTGGAATATAGCTGATTGACAATATTGTGTGATAGTTTGAGGTGAACAGGGAAGGGACTCAGCCAAATATATATGTATCCATTCTCCCCCAAACTCCCCTCCCCTCCAGGCTGCCACATGAGATTGAGCGGAGCTTCCTGTCCTTGTTGGCTATCCATTTTAAATATAGCGGAGTGTACATGTCCATCCCAATCTCCATAACTATCCCTTCCCCTCAACCATAAGTTGATTCTCTAAGTCTGTGAGTCTCCTTCTGTTCTGTAAGTTCATTTAAGGAGTTTCATACAGTATTTCTCCTTTAAGGCAATGCCTGTTATTAACTAAAGCTATCATTGAGTTACCTACTTACCTCGTATTGTGCTCAGCGCTATTATTTCATAATCCTCACGTACAACTATTAACCGCGCTTTTACAGATGAAGTCACGTTGTTTTCCAAGTCACACAGCCAGGAGAGAACCAAAACCCAGATTGTAACCTAGCAAGACAGCATTTAGGAGGTTTAACCTCTGTGCAGTATGTTAGTGGTTTTCACGTCCTGAGTTTGGAGAGGAGGAGAGTTGTTGGGTTAGGATCTGGTGTTCTGGGGTTCTTTACAGTCCCTTTGGGGACACATTCAAGCTCCAAATGTGGGGCTTTGCTCGGCTTCTCTCCCTCTTGGGCAGGGGAAATCTGGCAGTCCGGAGCGGAGCGCTCCAGCCACCAGTAGGCGGCACCGTCGCCCCTTGCAGCCAAATCCGTTACTCCGGGTTCTCCGCGGCGCCAGGGCGGGGCGCTGGGAGTCGAAGTAACATCCTAGGCGCCGAGGAGCCCCCTCTCCTGCCCACCTGGTGCCCCCGCAGCCGCGAGCATGCGCGTTACCTCCCGCGGTTGGCGAATTCCCGGGGTCCGCGGCGCGCGACCTGCCCCGCCCGCTGGGTCCGCCCCCGGCGCTCGCGCACCCGCTTGCGGTTCGCCTGAGCTGCCCGGGAGGCCGAGACTTCCGGGCTGAGCCTGGGCCGCAGGGGGCGCCGCCGTCGCGCGCTGCGGCCTGGGCGGGGCGGGCGTTCGGAGTGCGGCAGCGGCAGCGGCAGCGGCAGCAGGAGCGCAGCAGCCCGCCTCTCCCACCGCAGCCCGCCCGCTTGCCGGCCCGCCGCCGCCCGGCGCGATGGCGGGGAGCAGCTCGCTGGAGGCGGTGCGGAGGAAGATTCGGAGCCTGCAGGAGCAGGCGGACGCCGCGGAGGAGCGCGCGGGCAGCCTGCAGCGCGAACTGGACTACGAGAGGAAGCTGAGGGAGACCGTAAGGGACC